CGTAGACAGAATCTATTGCGTGAAATAACTGGCTATCGTGCTGACATTGTTTGTCTTCAAGAGGTACACATGATGGTAGATTTTTGGAAGTTAGTTCAGTCTTTTAAAGCATAGGATCTATTTACTGCTTCCATCCCAAAATGAAGTTTGCAATTTGACTTCATGGATTTTTAAGGGAAGTGTTGAAAGAGAAAAAAAAGTGTGGTTTACATTTTTTTAGAAGAGAGAAATTTAGTGGGAGATGTTATTTTCCTTAAAAGGAAAGAAAAGAAGTCTAAAATTTATTTTGGAGCCTCCAAAAAAGAAGTGTAAATTTCATTTTGGGAAGGAGGGAGTATATGTGAATAGTATGGAGAATCCCAAAAGTTTGTTTGCATAATGGTATATTCATGATGCAATATTTATGCCACCAAATTTTATTGTCCACTAGAAATCTTTTTTCACTTTAAATATTGACCAAATGTACATGCCATTGTCACTTCTTACTCCTCTAAGTAAATTCTATTGATAAATGAGCATTTTGAATCTCGCTTCTGACATGCATCATTCATTCATTCCCTTTCAGGTTCTAAGTTATCATTATGAAGAGTTCTTTCGTCCTGAACTGGACAAACATGGCTATCAATCTTATTTCAGAATGAAAAGTTGTGAGGTTAGTTATATTGATGAAATGTTATTAATCTAAAAGATCGTTGCATCTATGAGCTGATATAACTTTTGTTTGCAGGAGTATGGTAGAAGTATGAATAGTGTTGATGGCTGTGCTACTTTTTTTCGACAGGATAGATTTTCGCACAATAAGAAATATGACGTATAAAAAGCCTAGAAGTAGCTGAATGCTGAGTTAATTTTTGCTTTCTTAATTTTTATGCTTTGCGCAGGTTTAGTTTAACAAAGCTGGGCAATCATTGGCTGATGCTTTTAGCTCCCAGTGTTCAAAAGAAAACTGCTTTAAGTCGTTTGATCAAGGTATCAAAATTATTTAATCAAATGGAGTTGTGTACAGCTATGGCTTTTAGATGCATGTTATTCTGTCTTGCTGACTTGTTCTGTCTATTATTTATACGCACCATTGCATTCTGTCTTGGTAGGTTATTCTATCTATGCTAATTGGCTCTAATACAGGATAATGTGGCACTCATTATGGTCCTGGAGGCAAAGTTTGGTAACCAGGGTGTTGATAACCCCGTAAAGCGCCAGTTAGTATGTGTGGTAAGTACCTTATACATATCCCTGTGCATGTTATAGGCTGGTTTACTTGGATTTTTGCGTTATATAATAAGATTAATAACTTATTCCTTGCAGAGTTACACATGATCCCTTTTGTATAACACAGGGCTGATCCTTTATTATATGACTATACTTTAATATTATGAATATCTAGTAGATACTTCCTCTGTTCTTCAAATACTGCCTAATTGGAATTTTACACTAATCGTGCTCTCCATTTTGATCATCTTGTTGTGATTTAGATTAAAGAAACAGGCATGTAGGGTCTTGTTTGATCCATGATCCGTTTCAATTTAAAATTTCATATTATCAATTTTTCAAATTTATATTAAAGCACATTTGAAGATATTAATGATTTAATTTGTGCAATTGCAAGCACAAATTTGTAATATTTATAGACAGAGGAAATACTTTGCTAATTTATAGGGCTATTGTGGATTTAAATGTTGTTTGTTACTTAAGGTCTAGAGTGGTTGAATATGCTGAATTCAGGGTCGGTTTGGAAAACAGGGAAGTGGCTTCCAGAAAAATGTTTTTTGGAAAATGAGTTATTTTCCGGAAATCATTTTCCTTTTCTGATGTTTCGCTATAAGTCTGAAATTTTTTTATTTCTGTTTGGTTTAAATCCAGAAAATGAGTATCCAAAAAATGAATATCACAAAGAAATAGACAGAATTGCATGACCTATGAGACAAAAAAACTAAATCAGTAGAAAAAATCTCATCAAGATTCAATAAAAAGTTAGATTACAGTGAAATAATCAAGCAAATAGAATAATCCGTATCAAACAAACAAATAGCAGCATCCAATTTGAGTGAAAAGTGGATTTATGAAGAGAAATAGTCAAATAGACATCATCAGATTTGAGTGAGAAGATGATTCAAGATGGAGAAGCAATGAAAAGGGAGAAGACATAGCAGCGCCTAGCGGCCTTGATGCACTCACTAGTGGTTGATTGTCCTGCTGTGACGGTATCTTCTTGGAGTGGCGGTGTGACGGTGTCTGAGATAGGGTTTACGAATTGAAGAGAAGACGACGAGGAAGAACGAGATGGCAGAGAGGGAATGCGACTGGATGCGGCTCAGGAAACGGAATCACAAAAAGGAAAATGACTTCCGCCTTTGAGAAGGGGAAGACAAATTCTGATTTTTAGAGCTGATTTTCCATTGACCCAAGCCTTACTTTCCTTTGACTTGAATTTTCCAATATTTCCAAACAATGAAAAATGGAGAAAGTGACTTTCCAGTAGTCATTTTCCCCATTACCAAACGGAGCCTTACTGAAGTTGTTGCATAACTGACTGAATTGGATCTGACTATGCCAAATAATCCACTCCCTCAGGCTCATTCTTTTCTGCTGGAGGGAGTGAATTGAATTACTCAATACTTTCTTTAAAGGGAAACAACTACAAACAGCAACCAACAACGTACCGAGTGGAGTCTCATGCAGTAGGGTCTCTAATATTGGAAACAAGTTGGGACAAGCAGAAAAGAAAAAATGCACTATATAGCAATAAAATACCTCAAAAAATATATGCTAAATAAATCAGAAAATCATGAGTAAAATGAAGATAAAAATGTCATTTGTGGGATGAGCTATAACATTTTGTGGGATGGCACTTGTCTAAGAGCATTAATTTAGTGTTATTTTGGTTTGATGCAGGCAAACACTCATGTGCATGTTCCACAATGAGTTGAAGGACATCAAGCTTTGGCAGGTGATCATAACATGCCTTTTGTGGCAGTGACACTTTTACTTTATTATTTGGAACAGATCTGATTATGAATGTCTTCAATAATCAGGTTCATACACTTTTGAAAGGACTGGAAAAGATTGCTGCTAGTGCTGATATTCCAATGTTGGTCTGTGGTGATTTTAACTCGGTACCTGGAAGGTCTGTCATTTTGATGCACTATACACTTTTTGAAAGGACTGTTAAGTTTTTTCTTCAAATCTTCATCATACCATCTCAATTTGAAATATGTGTTAATTTCTAGGGTATTATGTTGCGCTGGGATTCCTATTACACATAAAATCAATGAGTTTGATTAATTTTTTACTTTGCCGGTGGGATTCAAAATTCCTAATTGCCATGAAATTGTGTGAATGCAAGACTTGAGTATTTTAACCTAGATTTTGTTCTATAAATAGATAGTAAATTCCGATTTGGAAATTGTTAATTTTAGTAATTCACTAATTCGTTAGGATCAAGAGACCAGCAAACTTAGTTATAATAAAGTATGATAATATTACAACACATAAGTCTTAAAGTTGGGTTTAGACTTTAGACCAATAGACCATTATATCATATAGTCAAGTGTAATGTTTTCTTTAAAGCTTTTATCACTCCCTGCAGGATCATAAAGTGTTTATTACCTCAAATGTGAAGCCCCTAGATGCATCATTCAAAGATGGGTCAATGCAGTTCAAGGTCAGGTACAAAGCTAGCCTAAGAAGTTATCATCCCTTTGTGGTGGCACTTTAATAAATTAGTAAAAGACTTCAATTATGATTCTAAAATGTGGCACCAGGATGTTCTTAGACCGTTGGTTAACTAATGAATTAGTTAAGTTACACTTCTTTACAACAATGTTTGGAAAACCCTTCCTGTCTAAATAGCTAGCCGATTGAGGCTTGGATTTGTAGTTCTTCACGCACATCATTTAGTCCCCAGCCTCCAACTATTTCACCGACTATATCACACACATCGCAGGCTTCACAGATAGATGCTTAAAATACATCATAAGGGAGACATAGAGAATGAATGGCTATGGATGGATTCTTGGAGGGGGTATTTTGGAAGCTCTTGATGGGATCCGTATTGGTGATTGCTTCTGAACGGGATCCAGACATCAAAAGACATCAAACGACAGGAACAATAACTTAGGTTGTGAGAGGTAATGAGGTATTAAAGTTTTAATTATGTTAAATGTACATACACAATATTTATGCCTTTTATTGCTATTTTTCAAATTTGAGGGCAATATATCTTTCATATAATTGTTGATATAAGGTTGATTTCAGTTCTCTCAAGAAGAAAGGTAAGGGTCAAGCCTCTAAGTGCCATGTGAAAGAAGTAAGAGGAATGAAATACATCAATACCTACTACAACTCCCTGCAATACATACATCTTTTTACACTATGTTTGGTTTAAGCAATCAGGAAGGAAAAGAAAAGAAAATGGTTTTCTCTCATTTTCCTCACCAAAATGCAAGGAATTTGGTTTTCCTTTTCTTAGTACATTTTGCTATCATTATTTTTTCCTCTCGCTTTTCTTTTCTTTTTCTCATTAACCAAACTGAAAAAATAGTTTTCTATCTCAATTTCTTATATTTTTCCTTACAAATTCCTTGAAGCAAACATAGTGTTAGTAAGGTAGAAAAGATGATTATTTTGCTATAAAATCATTCTGAACTTATTTAGACTACTTCAAGTGGTATACATTCTCTTCTTTTGGAACTCATTCTGAATTATTTTTTTTTTAAATATGGGTTCTCAAACATTTGGTGATTATTAATTCATATTTTTTCCCAGATTTACTGGAACGCTGAGTTTTGTAACTGTCCCCTTTAAACCTAATCTTATCCTAAGGTAAAATATTTCGTTTACTCTTTCTCTGTTGAATTTTTGAACTGTGCTAGATGAATTAGGTTCAATTTTGTGTCAAATTGTTTAAATTTTCCATAATGTAGGAGGGTGTAGCTGCCCTTTATTTTGATGCAATCTCTTCCCCATTTGTAAACTCTACATAAAAGGTGACAAGGTTATGAATGAAATGTTATCTAGTGTGAAACGCCGCCACTTTTTTATTTTTTATTTTTTTGCATGAATTGGAAGCATTAACTACTTAGCTATTAACTAATTTTAGACAATCAATTTGTATAGATTTCATGCCACCAACCCCAAATAGGTGGGAGTTCGGACTTCACTTAGTATTAAGGTAATTGTGTGTTTAATTTACATCTTTATATGCTGGTGGGAGGTTTAGTGTATATTATATAGGTAACCATACAGCATACGTTTTATACCCATATGATCATTAGTAATTGTGGGTTTAAGAAATGCAGTAGTGATGGTTAAGGCAGTCAGTAGCAATGAAATTGGATTCAAGTGGTAGATCCACACTATACATATGTTATATGTAGTTGCTTCTTATTCCCAATTTTGTACACTAGTTAGTAGTCCCAATAAAGGATTTCCTCCTACACAAATTATATTATTTGGCATTCAACTACAACCACTGCACCAAGTGACATGTTTGATTCCAAAAGAATTATCATGCCTTTTGTGTAGTATCTTGGAGATGCTTATTTTTGCAAAGGTGCCCGTGATTATATATTTATATGGTTGTTTATACTTGCCGTGTAAATTTCCCACCCAGTTTGGAAAACATACCCTTAAGAAAAAAAGCAAACTATAGCTAAGTGATTGTTTTTT